TACTGACTCTCCGAACGAAAGTCACCAGGGGGGGTTTTCTGCCTTTTTTCTTTTCCTCTTCCTTAGCGTTTACTAGCTCGAAAGCCTCAACCAGCTCTCGGGGTTTTGTCTGCCCCTCCTCTCCCCAACTCCAGAACACTTGATTCCGGGCTCGATTCTGTGCGGAAGCGGGCAAATTGGTATGATAATATGATAGAAATATCTGGGGGTGTCAATGTTTGCGGGGGGGGGGGTAGTTAAACCCTCCGAACGCCTACCGCGGTTTCCGAGCTAGTGAAAAACACTAAAACAAAAGGGATCAAGGTTGAAACAACAGTACTCGTACTGAGAAACACAATAATACCTCATTCTCATGGAAGCAAGAGAGGGAAAGAAAACACCTGGGCAAATTTACCATTAGCCGATCCCGAAAAGTCCCCATGAGATCTCACTTGACCCCAGAATCGCCCTCGAATGTCCCCAGAAAAGGGCGGTTGAGAAATACTCACCGCACCCCCGAGCAACCCTAGCTAAACGCGAACAGGCCAGCTAGCCAGCCAGCGGGCTAAAGCTTGTTTGTATTCGACCGTTACGGTAACGGGCAACTCATCACATCACACAGATGCGGGGACGGCCCATGTTCCAGCAGAAGCAGCAGCAAGCGGGTTTTCGTCAACCGGCGAGCATTCCTTCCTTCATTCCTTCATTCCTCCCTTCCAGCGGACGCGTGGGAAATAAAACCGTTAGACTACTGCGTTCTCCCTTACCATACGGTACACCTAAGGATTACAAACCCTTAGCAAAGCACCCAGGGGAAAGACCATCCGGCCAACCACAATTCATCCTAACGTTGGTGCGGTACTGTACGGTGGCCCGTATATCGGACGGTATATACCCCGTACCTTAAGATTAAGCTCGTTGATAAAAGGGGTGGTGGTTGTGGTTGTGGTTGCGGTGGTGGTGGTGGTGGTGGAAGAGGAGGAGGTAATTTTCCCGTATAGTATTGAGTGAGTGGCACTTTGGATGGAATCGTACCGTACTGCAGAGTACGGTAGGGTACGGTTCAACGTTCCCTTCGATACAGTACCATCCAACGGGGACGTTTTGAAATGGTGCACTCCTTCGCCGGGACCGAAAAAGAAATACTCAAATTTGCCAACGCCCGATTTGTGATCATATATCACAGTAATTGGCGGGTTCCAGATCATGACAGCCTCGGTATGATACTCGCCCCACATACTGTCGTTATGTGTGCTCGGTTGCTTACCACACATCCAGTCAGTGTTTCGGATGAAAGGTAGAAAGTGAAATGTAATGATGCAGTACCGTAGGGTCCGATGTCGTTCCCTTTCGCCTCTGGTCGGGTTTCACGGATGAGAAATAGGCGGGGCTCTACTCATCCTCGCATTCCAGAAGATGGAGGAGAGAGACATGCACTGAACCCTGAATTTCTTCTGGGCGAAAAAGAAAAAAAGAAAAAGGAAAAGGAAAAGTATTGGAGGGGATGGAACCGGAAGTACGAGTACTGTATGATATTGTCTCTATCGCACTTGTCGGTCTGATAATCTACTGCACCCAGGTACTGTAACTAAATAGAGAAGGTTCAACTCGACCCTGGCAGGTGCAAGAAAACAGCACGGCACTTTAGTCCATTCCCCAATAATTATTACTACTGTATTATCACAATTCTTGTTTTGTTTCCCCCTCGTACCGTTACAGTGCTCGAGTAGGGTAATGTGTGGAAGAAATGGTGGGTTAGTGCACGGCCAGAGAGCTAAGGGTGACATGCAGCAGCAATACGCTTCCACGTCGTGGAAGTGTATACCTGAGTATGATATGATACTCGAGTATGATACTTGTAACTCGTAGACTACCTACCGTAAGGTACTCGAGTTTAAGAACGGGCACCGAAAACCTTAACCGGGGGGGGGGGCGAACAATTGGTACCGTAGAGTAAGATAGATCAGATCATATCTATTCTTTCTTTTCTTTTCTTTTTCTCTTTCCTTTTCACCAACTAAAAAAAAAAAAAAAACGACTCCTCTCGTTTTCGCGATCGTGATCACGCATCATCACTCGGCGCCACAAACGTCATCGGGTCCGACGCCTTGAGCGAGCGAATGGGCTGCTTCGATTCGATTCCTCCGCTTCGAATGGGGCGTCTGGTACGAGTACAACAGTATGAGTGTGCGCGTTGTGTGCTTGTGCGTCCCCCCCCTGAGCTATTTATGATCAAAACGTAAGACTGTCCCGAAGGGGGGAAATTTACAGATCCTGGACCTTGTGGGGTTTTTCCCTTCCCTTTCTCCTCTTTTCTCTTCTTTTTTCTAACAAATCGTGGAAAATCGATTTTCCGGTCATCCCTTTTTCCCAAGAAGGGGAATTTTTTTTTTTTTTTTTTTTTTTGGAAACCGAAGCCTATTGTTGCGGTTGCCCCGTGCAGTTTTAAACCCTTTTTTTTTTTTTTTTTTTTTTTTCAAGGAACAGGAACACAAAAAAACCAAAAAAGGGTTTAAGCTTGTGGTGGTTGGTGGTGGGGGTGGAAAAGAAAAAATTGGCGAAATGATTTTTTTGTATAGAAAAAGAAAAGAAAGGGGAAAGGAAAAAAAGAAAAGAGAAAGAGAAAACGGGCAAGCGCCAATCATACATTTTTCCCTGAGACATGAAAAAATGAAAAAATGAAAAAAAGTGCCTTAATAGTACAAGTTATGAGATGAACCATGCTCTTGGCCGGTTTGCCACCAGCCTTGCCCAACCGTTTTGCCACATTACTGCGAATCTACTCTACTCGTACTAGTACAAGTACGAGTACTTGTAATGAATTATACCTCCCGTGTTCAGGTGGGGTGGAGCGTGAGCCCCAAAGAGCCTTTGTGTTACCACCATCTAGATCCGTCCCTAACTCGAGCGAGATTTCTGGAATGAGGGGGAGAAGGGGGGAGAAATCGCAAGTGTGCTCGTGCACCGTCCCTTTGGGGTTGGCAACCAAAAAGTGTGGAGGATTAGTTAGTTAGTACTTGTACGGTAGTTAGTAGTGGGGGGGGAGAAATGAAAAGCAAAAAAAGTACCCTACTCGTTGAACACCACAACGAATTTGAAAGGTACTTGTAGCATAAAGGAACGACTGAATCTGATATCTTAATCATGGCTCTCACGATATGGCGCATCCTACATCCTCCAAACAATGACGGGCAGGGTGTGCTTGTGTGTGTGTGAAAAGGAACCGGCTCAAATTTAAGGTGAGCTACGGTAACTACACGCACGCACTGTTACGGGTATTAGAATCATTACAGTAGTTGTGCAGCAAGTACCCCGAATTTTGCAAAGTGCTTTAAAAATTATAGCGCAGTCTTAGTGCGGTTGTAGTGTTTGGGTAAACTACGGTAATTCTGGTCTGCTCCCCCGGCCGAGTTGAAGTCGGCCGCCCTCATATGCGAGTACATTTGTACTAGTACTTGTACTCGAGTATAGTACTCTAGTCATCGCCTGACCAATAACGAGCCCCCATGCAAGGCAACACAATTGACAATCACCTGCTTGTACGATGAAGGAAGAAGTGTTCTGATACCGTGGCCTCGTAGCAGACCAACGCATATGGCACCAATATAACCTGGAATCGAGCAATTGAAATTACTGTTTCCATTATGAAGTATATCACCCATTGAAGCCCCCCTCATGAAAGTGCTTGGCACCTTTTTATAAATCACAGCATGAGGAAGAGCTTCAAAAGTCCTCACAAGTGCCTGTTTGGCCCCGTGTGCCACAACCCATTTTTCTGCGATGGACTACCTGTATATTTTAATATTATAGTGAGTATCGCATCACTCAGCTTGGCGCCGGAGATATCAATTTATCGGCCCAGCGATCACTGAGATATGAGGGTGTCCGGCTTCAACACGGCCGCGCGAGCACCGATACCGTAGTGGTAGAGAGAGAGATATATATATAGAGAGGAAATATTACTGCGGAGTAAACTTTGGAAATAAAATATATACCCGTCACCCCGCTTTCCCCATTACCAACCTGCCGTCGCGGTAGTGAGAAAAAAACGATTCGGACCATCCGTCGGTCAACCCCTCCAACCGCCTCCCCACCCCCCCCCCCCCCAAAAAAAAAAAAAACACAATCCAGCAAGAATCTCCAGCCCTGTAAATGGCTCACTTTGATCCTATTGGGGCTAGTCCCTCTATCTGAAAACTCTTACAAGTAAACTGGAACCCAATCTGTGGGTGTCGATTCCCCCATTTTTCAATGTCAAAACTACCCCACGCCAAGAGGGGGTCGAGCGTTGTGTGGCAGTAGCATGGCGTGGTGAGCGTAGCGTGGTAGGAGGCTCGAGAGCTTGGGAAGGAGAGTGGTGGGGGGGAGGAGAGAGCAACACAACCGATGGGGGGTTGAAGCGAACGAGGGAAGTATGATAAAAAAAGCTAGACGGTCAGAAGGAAAGAGGAAAGGGAGAAGGAAAAAACAAAACAAAAAAAGAACATCTGTCGGGGGAGAAACCCGAAGGGGATTCTCCAAGCCGAACCTGAGCCTTTTTGCCCTTTCTCTCCTCATTATTATTATCAATGGTTGTTGAGGTGAGGTGTGTTAATTTTTTGGTGGTAATACTGCGCCCATGTTTTTAACCTTTGGTGTGGGAGAGAGATATGGCGCTACCGGTACTACTCCCATGGAGTGTGGTCTAATTTAAGGCGATTAATACTGGTCCATCGTGGAAGCATAATGGCAATGATATGATACAAGAAAGCTACTGCCCAAAGCCGAACGGTTAGGCAAGGCACAACAAGTACGGTATTACAGATAAGCCATTAAGCAAAGCCCATATTCTTCCTCCACTGGAGTAAAAGATCTTCAACGGTTGCACAGTATTGTTGTCACCATCACCACCATCACATTTGTCTCGGGAGCAAATATCTTCAACAACATCCGAACCATGCTAAAGCGATAGTTCATCGGAACGTGAAAGATGTGTGCTCGGAGGACGGAACAGCGACTAGAGCCCAAGGCAAGACAATGGCGGAATAATAGATCATGACTTTCATCGCTCTCTTCCCATACCGTATTCCTGGAGGGAGGTGGTATCATTATTTCTCCTCTGATCCTGCCCCCTACCGCGGGGGTACGGAGGGAGCACTTGCGCTTCCTACCCCAAAAGGGACCCGGATCCAACGGCTCAGGTTGGTTTCGGATTTCTCCCTTTCTAGAAGAAAACGGTCATCGTGAAACAAGAACGCCTAGCGTACGTACTACCGCACGTTAGTTGTGCATGTTCGGAGCGTAGAAAGCCCTCACACCTATAAACCTATAAATACCGGGGAAGTGGCTGTATTATTATTATTTTGGGGCTTTTCACTTTCTTCACGGAGGGCGGGCGAGTGAATGGGTGAATGAATGGGTGAATGAGTGAATGGATGAGTGTGAATGAGTGTGTGAGTGTGTGGTGGTTGTCGTGGTGTGCGAGGGATGTATGATATTAATTTACGTGTTGTTGCCATTTCCTGCCTTTCCCTATTTATTCCTATTGAGGCTGGGAGAGAGGGTTTGATACGGTAGTTAGGAAACGAGCAAGGAATAAGCATTAGGGTTCGAAAAAGAAGCGGAAGGGTTGGAGCCGTCGAGTAAATAGTGATGGTGATAATTACTGCAATAATGAAAACCGGAGGAAGAACAGAGATTGGCGCTCAATCCTTCACATTCGCTCCAGGGCACGACGGACGGTTGTGGAGAAAGGTGCAGAAACAGACCCTGCCCTGACCATGACCCTACCCCGGCCCTGGCTCATTAGGGATGGTTCCCAGGGTATCATCAGCTCAAAAGCGTACACTACGCTAGAGTCAGGGCCAGCTCTTGCCTGATGCCAAAGTGTAGATGTGAGAAGAGACAGGATCCCGATACGGGTAACTGCATAAACGCAAAATATGATAAACACAATTTGCACCGCATTGTAGAAAATAGAGTGTTGGAAGATCGCAGAATGGGTATCATAGCCTAGAGTTGGTGGTACGGTACCATGCACATAGACAGCTCTACCCTATCATATTCGAATGGGGCTTCCGTATGATGTACTGCAGCAGGAGCACGTACGAACTCGCACAGCACCGCAAGAACTGCTGTGGAGAGTGTATAAAAGTAGTAACGTCGTAAGTTAGGCCCTTCTATCACAGCCTTCGCAGAACACGACTCCCCCATCAATACGGTAAAATTTTGGGGAGGGCCCTGAACCTGGTAGGCAGCCCATGAATTTGTAGGGAAGAAGACGTATGAACGGTACTACCGTCCCTTGCGAGAGAGTGTATGAGCGTGTAAGGAAATGGGAAGCAAGAGAGAGGGGAGTAGGCATCATTGATGCTGCATGGGTCAAGGAGGTCGGGTTGCGGCTAAAGGAGAAACCGTTTTCTTTTCTTTTCTTTTTCTTTGCTTTCTTTCTTTTTTCCCTCCCTCCTTTCCTCTTTTTCTCTCTGGTCCAACTCGTAGCATATTTGTTATCACCTTGGGTGAGAGTACCGGGTCTTGCCGTTTAACAGTTAATCCTTGCTGCTAATCCATCAGGCTTTATTATTCTACTTTTTTATTTATTTTTTTCTTCTTTGTCCCCCTCCTGGTATGATTTGTAGTTTCTTTTTTTTCCTCCTCGCCTTTCTCATGTTATTTTCCCTTTTCCGTAATTACTTTTTTTTTTTTTTTTTTGCTTTCCTCCCCTCTCGATATCTATTATCCCTGGTGGGATGGTTGAGAAGGGGTGATTCTTTCCCATACAGATTTCTGACAGGCTGTGGCTGCTGCTGTTCCATTGCTACAAGTTCGAGGTGTTTACGAAGCACAGGGACGTGTGCTCGATGCAGCGGCAATGTGAGCCGGTTCGGGGTGGGTCAGGAAGGCCGAGTTTCCGCGAGCAAAACGGGATGGGAGAGGGCTTGCTGTAACCCCCGGGGCGGGGATGTATGTGAGTTCGCTAAAGAACCAGGATGCTAGTTTCTCCGGTTGGCCATTACATGGGTTGCGGCATAGAAGGATGGAGGAATATTCAGAGAAGGAGGACCAAAGCACCCCCAGTGACCACTACACCTGCGCCTACCCTACTCTACCAGTATCATCACACATTCGGACCCCCCCCCCTTCCTTCGCCCGTTGCCTTCCTCCTCCCTACACACCCTCCTCCCAAAGCTAACCTTTCCAATTTTGGAGCTTTACCATGAATGCCGGCACCACCTAAACACTCTCCTACAGTGAAAAGCTTTATAGACACCACTTGTCTCCCCGCATGCCTTCCGCCTTCACATTTTCATCTTCAAGCGATCCGCCCTTATCCTCTACGTCAAGCTCCGCTTGAACCGTAATCCCATTCAACCCCTCCCGCCTTCCCCACATTCCACGGGAACTGCAACGCGTTTACCAAGAGAACAAGAGAACAAGCGCTTTCGTCCTCATTCAATTGCTTCGTTTTTCATTTCCTCGTTCACAGAGATCAACGATATTCCACTAGAGCCAAACCTTTTTTTTTTTTCATACTATCCTTCTTGTCAACAATCTTTCCCCCGCGATCGCCACTTCAAATCGATAATTAACTCATCAACCACCCACCATACCATCTAAGAGAATGGCAGACAGTCCTCAACCTGGCGGGATCAAGAGGAGCTTTGATGATTCTGGCAGCTCTGGAGCCGATTGGCCCTCTCGCAAGAGTGGTAGACCATCTTCCGGTTCTCCCGGTCGTTATGTTCTGCCTTCGATTCTGGATGGAAGTGGGCGGGTCCCAACGATATCTCGAAAGGTCAGGGCTTGCGCCGCCTGCAAGAAACAGAAAATTCGCTGCGATTTCGAGGAGGGAGAATCAACTTGTGTGAGATGCAAGAAAATGAAATTGGAATGTGTCGTCAATAGGAGTCTGCAGACTATCCTGGATGAAGATGTAGAGTACGTCATCCATCATCACCACCCATCGTCGGGCAAGGAAAAGAGAGGTACAAAAGAGAGGTGGAAGAGGAGGAACGATGGAATAAAGGAAAAGAGGAGGGAGAGAGATCATGAGGGGAGCCATTATGTTACTTGGAGAATAATGAAGCTGATTGTGAGTTGATAATAGGTGGAAGCGCCTGATGCGCGATGATACTACGCAACTCCAACGTGCCGTTGAAGACCTGCTACAGATCAATGGCATGCGCCCTTTGACGGCGTATTCATACACCATGGATTCTCCAGTTTCATCCGACGCCTCAACCACCGAGAGGGGGCGATATCCAACCTCTGAGAGGTACAACGACGGCAGATATGATCGGGGCATATCTGCCGCAGCATCGCACGTAAGATATCCAGATCGTTATTTGGAAAAAGTCAAGGTGGAGGAGAATGACGGACACTCTCTGGTTTCAAATCCCATGGGGTCGCTGTACGAGGTGACGAATCTTCAAGGTCCTAGAAGTAGCCTCCGCATTGGGCAACAGCACCCTTCCGAGTCGGACGGCGACTTTGTTTCCTCTGGGCTCATTACACAGGCTGAGGCGGAGGCACTATTCACAATGTATGGCTCCCACTTTCAATAGTCCAATTTAACTTGGGAGTTTCTCCCGTCAGAATTCAATTCCAAACCTCTGCAAATGTAGCAAATATTTTGCCATGTAACCTGTATGTGAGAAGAAATGTTTCGACTCTTTCATACTACCTCAAGCATGAAATTAAATAAAGAGGGGGGTGAGAAGGGGGGGGGGGAGACAGAGAGCAAGAGAAATATCTTTAGGCCCTTATGGCCTAGGATACTCGGCTCTATAGTTTCGTTATCTTTTTCATTATTTTTCTTTGTTCTAGAGAATATTTAACGCCAGGGTTTTCTCATCAAAGCTAATTCCATTGCAGATTTAGGGATTCTCTCAACCACTATCTCTTTGATATCGCTCTGACGCATAACACTTTGGAGGCTGCTCGGGCTTCTTCATGCTTGTTAACCGCTGCGATATTTACCGTATCGTCACTGCATCTTCCCCAACACCACCATCTCTTTCCAAAACTCTGTCGGGAATTCCTCCGCCTTGTTTCTTCATCCATGTTCGACCGTTATCATCAGATGGATGACATCCGCGCACTCTGCATCGGAGCCTTCTGGCTTACGGAGCTTTCGTGGAAGCTGTCGGGTCATGCTGTTCGGATCGCAACCGAGATGGGAATCCACCAATCTTTTCGAAAGGCCCTCGCAGGGTCACCCGAACACTTCGAACGGGCTCGGCTTTGGTATCTGTTGTATGTTTGTGACCACCATTTTTCAATCGCGTATGGACGCCCCCCGGTAATCCATGATCACGAGCCCATGCGCAAGTACGAGTTGTATCTGCAGTCAAGTCTTGCTATCGAGGGCGACAACAGAGTCATCAGTCAGGTCTCATTATTTGTCGTCATGACTCGGATTTATAATTGTTTCGAGGGCGAGGCCGAGGGTGAGATTTCAGACGAGAGTTTATCGCAGTTGGCGGGATTCAACGAGCAGTTGGATAACTGGCGTAACACATGGCGTACCCGACTTCGTAGGTTTTCTGACCTCCGTATGCATAATCCCCCTCCCCCCGCCCCACAGTGTGATATTTCCTGCTGGCAGGGAGGTGGGATTTATGTTGTCCATCGTGCTAATCAATATCTGATAGAAACGAACGCTTTTGTGGGCGACTACCCAGCAAAGGGCGTTGACCTCCATTACCACTTTGCCAAACTCCAGCTCAATTCGTTATCATTACGTGGGGCCTCGACTGCTACCATCAATAACCTGAGCCCCCTGAGGAAGGAGTATGCGAATATCGCTATAAACTCGGCGGCGTCCGTGCTTGCTGTGGTCTTAGAAGAGTCATCAATCCGAGATTCGCTGATTGGCGTCCCATTATACATCGATACAATGATCGCATTCGCAGCAGTCTTTCTGCTCAAGGTCACTGCGCGATGGAAAGGCGTTGGATTTTCCTCCCTCGCGCCAGCGCAGGTATGGACACAGGTCGGTATGGTGATCGAGCTATTGAAAGAGAAACAAGCCGGGGAACAACACATCATCCACCAGGTATCTGTAGGGCTTGAAAAGATGCTGAATAAGTGCGTCGAATTTTCCGGTTCCAGCAGCCCCTTCGACGATTCCCGATTCTGGGGTAACACCCTTCAATCCAACCACAACAGCCATTCCCCCGCACAAATCCTTACGCCCAGAAGCCTCCCGCCGTACCATGAAGTCCCCGTGTACATGCAAGAAGGATACCCCCAGCAGCAGCAACACCAACATCAACAGCCGCAGCAACAACAGCAACAACCACCTCCACAAGTCCCAGTCGATAGTTCCGGTCAACCGCTATACCCACAAGTACCAATATACGACGTTAGCAGCGCCGGCCCCAACGAGCAGCAGTACTTCCCAATCCACATGGGAACGTATGACTTCCTATCTCCGCAACTACCGTACTAGAGCGCTAGAGCACTAGATGACTTCCCTTGCTGCGTTTTCTGGTTTATGTATAGATTGGCGTCCTCTGCTTTTTTGTCTTGTACTTGTACTTCCTATCGTCTACTCGGCGTCTATTGCATGTAATCTGTATTAGAATTTTTTTGTATGGTTATCTTTCTATGCCTTCGTGTTAGTATGTTTCCCTTATTGCGGTCATATGTTGGTAGGGTGGTGGGCGAAGAGGGGGGTCGGGGGGGTTCGGCAGCGGCGACTGGCAGGCGGGATTGTTTTTCGGGGAGTTGTGGAGCATGTTGTGTTATGTCGTTTTTGCCCATTTATGATTCCAGCAGTTCTATGTCTAAACGGGAGGTGGAGGGCTTATCTCTTATGTATTGCTCTTTTATTTTATTTTCCCTTAACCACACATACCCATACCATCCTAGACAGGTTCAAAGGCGGGCAAGCCACCGACAGGAGGCAGCATGGCAGTTTTTTTTTTTCGAAAAAAAAACCCCCGTCTTGCCTTTTCCTATTCCTTTTCTTTCTTCCCTCCCTCGCTCTTCCTCTCAGGCTCCTTTTCTCCCTTTCGTACTTCCCTTTCATCTTTTACCAAGCCCAATGTTGTACGTACATACGTATTGCAGCGCCAGAGCGCAAAGAAAACCGGGGGCTCCGGCGGGGTTCCCGGATAAACCTCTTGTTAGAGCGTACGTCCTCGCACACGAGGAAGGCCGATGTTGCGGGCGATATATGCTGTGCCATGCCGTGGTACGGCACTGTATGTGCGGGTATCAGTCCGGTCCGGGACATATCCTGGGTTTGTGGGAGTATCTGTAGCTCTGGTGCTAATTTTGGTACGGTAATTGAGCCAGGACTTGTTCGTTTGGGTAGTTTAAATGACATTGATTTGCAACTTTTTATTTTCCTCGTGTGATTCGCTTTTCGAGTTGGCTACCGCCATTTTGTTTATTGACTCGATCTCCCTGGTTGATAGGTACTCCCTCCTCCACCTTCTCCTTGCTCCTCACTCCCGATTGCAGGTTGTAACATTTGAAGAGAGAAAAAGAGAAATGGGATCCTCACGAAGGAGAAACTATCCACGGCAGGTAAAATAAATAGAAAAGTGTCAGGCGGAATGGTAGCGGCTGGCTGGAGATTTATTGCGAAATTTTAGCAGGTGAGGGGTTTGTGGATTTTCCGAGTCGGCTAAAGTGTTCGGGTCTCGGGAGGACTAGCAAGCGATATAGTGGGCCTAGGGTAAGGTCCCGGCGGTCCATCAATCGGCTTCTATCGTGGCCAGTATGGTAGTGCGATCTCTGCTTTGTTATGCCACCCAGGATATCATTTCATTTCGAACCTCGCTTCTGGTTGGCGGGGGGGAAGGGGATAGAATCGTGGATAGATGGTGCACAGTGCCGGTATCGTAATCTGTTGGCCCGTTTTTTTTCCTTTTGCTTTATTTTTTTCTTTTGTGCTATGTCAATATTTGTTCCATCCTCGCTTCCTTTATAATACCAACGGACCCATTTTGCTGTTCTTCTGTCGTGTCCATGATGCCAGTCCAGCCTCGGTCTGAAGTCCTGACCTCATTCGCGGGGAGCCGAGACTCCCCGAACCCCCCCCCCCTAAAAACAAAAACGGGAAAAATTAGGAGAGAGTGCGCGAGCACTGCAGCATCATACATACAATATCTGATCGCAAAGTGGGTCTCTCATCATAGATATCATAAGGACTCCCACCGCATCTATTATTTCTGAACCACCCACCTGGCATGCTTGGGGGAAAAGCTCACGCAACTCCCCAGCATAGTAATCTTCAGGTCAGCGCTCCAGATATCTTTCAAACCTTCCCAACAAGAACCGATCAGCGGAGCACAGTCACCGTACAGTATGGTAAAGACTTACGCTATACGTGCCGGGGAGATGCCCGACTGACTGTTGCGAGCGGAAGTTGTGGAGTGGGGGGGCGGGGGGGCGGAACAGTGGTGGTAATGGTATGTCATAGTTTGTTGAGTTAAAACGCCATACGGCTTTTTGCTTAAAGCCCGTGCAAAGCTAGTATTATGGTGGTCATGGGGCGTCACTCGGGCTCGTCTGCGGGGGAAGGTGGTGCTTGGAGCGGCTGGGACGCTCGCTACGCAGCGTGGTTGGTTCATCGTCGGTTCGGATAAGTATTTTTCCGGGCCGATCTAGGATTGCTGGCCCCACCGGTTCGCAGAGTTGTCCGTGTGTCTCGGGTTTGGGGGGCGGGGGGTGAGGGATGTTGTGTGGGATGGACGACTAGCCGCACCTCTTACAGTAGGGGACGGTGATGCACACGGGCTAGTGAGCGCAAAGTACCGGTATGAATATCCATGGTCCTCAAGGTGGGGTCTTCCGTTGGGGGTGGAACTCCGAGGGAGGGTGGACTCGAGTGCTCGAGTACTGTACTAGTAAACTGCTGGTACGCTGGTCATCCCTACGGCCCCAACCAATATCTGGCCCGCTCACTCACTTAGGATACCACGTTCTCCCGAAAGTCAATGCGGTCAGCACCGCTTATTGCCACACTTGCGAGGGTAATTAGGACAGCAACACGGAGCGGAGGTCGCCTAACACGCACTCTCCTTAGTTCATTACTTGCCCTGAACTTTATTTATATTGGCCTGGCCGGCCACATTTCGATCATAATTTCCTACGAAAGGTTTCCTGCCACACCGGTTTCGGGGCAGAACCATACTGCAATTTCGACTTTCAGAGGAGTGTTCGGCCATCGGAAAACAGTTATAGTGTACATGCATGTGTTAATAAGGTTCAGGAACGTTGACGATTAGGTTTGTGGATTTTTTTTTGACTCTTTTTACTTTAATTTATTTTTTTGTTTCGCCAGATCCAATTCTATGTTTCTTTCAACAATCGGCTAACGGAAGAGACAGAATTGGGGTCAGATTTACAGTTCTCGCGTCGCCCAGAGGTTCGGTGTGTCGTTTGGGATAACATCGCCGAGATTTCTTTCCCTGTTCCACTTTCAGCGGTGGAGGCCCGTTGAATAATAAAACCCTTTGCCTCGGTTATAGAGGGCATGAGGTTGACCGTCGGGAACGGCGAGCGACTATTCATTCATATATAAACACTCCTTCTTCGGGAATTCGGATATTATTTGGGTACCCACTACTCTGGCTAACGCGATATACGGTTGTGGGGGATGGTACGGGTTACGGTTTTCATTCTGCGGTTTTACGCCACTGCCACAGGCATCCCGCAAGCGGTAAATGTTCTATTTCCACCAAGACCGAGGGCCCGGTGGAGCAAATGGCCGTATACAACCAATTTAGGAGAGGGAAGACCTTATCCCGGCCTTGCATTGGTAGTGCGGAACTTATCTTTCTTTCTGATTTAGGGAAGAGGGAGGGTTAGGTTATGATAGAGGGGTATTTGGCGGCGACAGGGGGTTTCTCGGGTCTATTTTTCCGCTCCAGTACCAGCATATTGGTGTCTCAGATCCGTGTGTGGGGTGGACAAAGTATCGGTATATCAAGTTACTTGTACCGCTTCTCACTCTAGTACTCCCGGCAAGGATTGAGTGTGGGTGCTGGTGGCTTGATGCTGCGGTGGAGTGCGGCAGATGGAAGATCCTCATCGGATCGGGATTGTTCGAAGAGGTTGAATCAAGCTCTGGTGGGTAAAGGAGGGGAGGGGGGGGGTGGGTCCACACGGGGGATCCAATGGAATAAGGCGGCTAGGGTTAGGATGCCAACCATGCATTACCCAGTCGACACTAGGGTGATCATTTGCCCAGCCTTGGCAGAATCCGGTGGAATGGGGTGTGTTATGCTTTGGGCTGTCGTCGTTGGTGGGCGGGGGTCGGATTTGGGGTGGAAATCGGGAAAGCGAGGATCGGTGGTGGCACATTCAGGTTCAACGGGCTGTTCGGGTGGTACAGGTGCTTATTGTTATCAGTGGATTGCAGTCCTACCATAGCACGTTAGGACTGCGCGCGCGGGGGGTTCTCGAAGAGAAATTTTGGCCAAGACAGACTGGTTGGGCCTTGGAGCAACATTCCCAAGTCAGCAGTTACACGGATAAGCGCCTCCCCACAGTCGGGTGACCATAAATATGGTGAGGTGGAGGCTATTCCTGATTAATACACTGGATCGATATTTGGGGTTAATATGGATGTTACCAATGGATGAATTGAGTTTTCTTGACTGCAGCCCTTGAGAGGCTCGCGACCGGAGCATGGGCAGACATCCGGGCTACGATTTCCTAGCCCTAAATCGAACAAACTTTGCCCGATAGGTTTCCTCCAAACTTAAATAATTCTGGATTAAGTGCCGCGGGGACCTAAAGCGGATCCCAATCCTATCGGGCATTAAGATATCAGATTCCAGTAACCTTGTGGTACTGCCTCATGCCGAAATGGCGAAACGTGCCCTACAAGATATGATTTTTCCTTTAGGATCACTCACGTTTAGGGAATCTATGTTTTTCGCTAATATGCGCGCCTCCGAATGGCTCCATACGAGCACGTCTGCTCTGGATAGAGGTATTCCGTGGCAGATCATTTTTTTCAGCTTTGTGATTGTGTTAAGATGGGGATCGGATGTCGCCCGCTAACCGTACAAGCACCCAATGGTTGGCGAGGTGTACCACCGCAGATATTTACTCTGCGACTTGACCGGCGGACGGACTACTCCGTCTAATATTCCAGGGAGGGTTGCGATAGAATAGGGTTCCCGAAACCACCTATACACCCCCCAACAAAAGCGTAGAACCCCCCTACATACCAGTTCCAGCTCACAAAATAGCAGCCTCCGAAGCAAAAAAGTGCCAGCGCACCAACCAGCGGGAAAAATATTTCTTCCACGGTCCACTTTTATAATATGCCCAACCGGCGTGGCGGTTAACCCGACAACCGAATTACCCCCGCCGGGTTTACAATTCACGGCTACCCACCGGGTTACTGAGGTGACTAGTTTGGGCAACACATTCATTATATATCACTCGCTAGGACTTCGGGGTTGAAAGTAGACATGAACCTGAAATTCCACGCCCCTCGCCTCACCCCCCCCCCGACAGCCAAATGTGCTCAGAGGGTCATACACACCTGCGTTGGCTCCCTACCCCCAAAGTCCCCATTATGATGGTTTGGTTTTGGTGCACATCGATGAGCGGGCGATCAGTTCAAAAAACAAGCTTATACCCCATATGGACGAGAGAGAGAGAACTCCAGAAGTGCTCAGCACCTGGGATCCCCGCATGACCACTTTCTGTGGTATTAGCCGAACGATGTAGTGGCTGTTTGGAGCTTGGTAGACGGGATGCAAAGTTTTGCATTTTTCTGTGGCAGGACAGGGCTGTCCATTCTGGCCGGGCCTTGGTTTTGTGTATGTAGGAGTTGTGGCGATTACCGCTGGGGAATGTAGAAATGGAATTTTTGTTGGAAGGGATATATTATCTCGAGTATGATAGATAATCGCTTTCGTAAGGGACATACGTTAGGCTAGCGCTTCCCTTCTTGTTGCTCCCCGGTGCTCAAGACCAATTCCCATTCTTCTATCCCCTTGCAAAACACACTCTTTCCAATGCGGGGAGAAACAGACCATAGGTCTCCTCAGTGCCCCAGAACAATCCCCTTATCGTACTCGCGCCTAGTTTTTGTTGGTTTGTTAGCGAAGCCTTTTACAATCATTCCCCTCAAACTTAGCGTAATGGAGTTAAGTGTATATTTATTCTGAGATTATTTCGGAACCCCCCCCCCCGAGATCTCGTGCTGAAGAAGAAGAGGCATGTGGCTTATCTGGTAAAATTGGAGTGTATTTGGATTCCTCTGGATTGTCGGTGCTATTGCACTTTTTGAGCTCTTTGTCAGATGGGATAGGGGGGCTTTGCTATTATTAGTTATCGCCGGTGGTGTTGTCGTGCCCGAGTTGTATTATAACTTTATCGTTGGACACTAGTTGGTATGGTACAGTACAGCGCCTGTCGGGAACCTGATCCACGGAGGTGTGCACCGTAATGCCATTAACTTAAATTATTTCTTTCAAATGATGGATTAAAGCTTTTCCTAGGTCACGTGTTTTTGGATATTCCCGGGTCCACGTTAGGTTGGATTAGACCAGGTCGAGTTAGTTTAAGCCGTCAGTTGGAAATTGTATCAATATTTAGGAAATTAGCGCCGCAGAAAGTTATCTCTTGGCGGCGAGGAAATGTAAATGATCCGGGGGGTCTTCCTGCATCAATATTGTTGTGCCATCTGGGAATGATCCCGGCCGTGGGCATTATACTGACAAAATAATGATGGCGCTCCAGCTGAGACTCGGCGGGGGGGGGGGCGGAACCGTTGCGGATCTCTTCCCCCTCAGGGGCGTTAGGGAACCCGAAGGAGCCTCTTGGCTTGTCGATTGGAGTCGCGGGAGTGGAGGGTGAATCCTCTTCATTCACGGGTTCCAGCAACCACTATTTTACCGGTTGAAAGTCTCTGGATTCCCTGCGTCCCCCGGGGTTTGTTCTGGTAAGGCTGGGTAAATCTTGCCTCGTTCAGAGTAAATTTAGGCTGGGTTTGTGAATCTTAGACTAGGCGGGCCGGTGGTGAGGCTTGCAGGCACTGCCCAGCGCTGTGAAACTCAGATTCGAGGTCTCTCGGTAGTCAGTTGTCTCCCGGAATCCCTAGAGCTAGAATGCCCTTGATATATGATTGTTCCAGTAGTTATTCTCCTGTCGTATTTTAATTGAATTGAACACGTACCTTGCGAATATTAAAACGTTCTGGAAATCGAGCCCAGCTTGAAAGATCTCGTGATACTGGTCTATAGAACACTCCTATTTCATGCCCGAAATTACGGATCTTATGTTTTCGAGCTTAAAGAGTTTATTCCTGGGGCACTAGAACAGAACTGTTGCATAAAAGCTCCAGTATATTGACCGCTTAGAAAGGCGCCGCATGACACTTTTCCTAGCCCTCGGAAGTCTAGTTGAGCAAGGAGTCTATTTAGAAACAGTTCTGATCTCTAAATAGTCTCCGAGAAGCAGAGCAGGATCTGTCTCAACATTTTGCGCTTGCTTTTACCGCAAGCGATGATCTTGTCATGCATTCCCCACAACGCCATCTAACCTGTGCCTGTGACATTTCTATATTCTCACAATGTCCAAACACGCCGCCCCGGCCACGTTCCTTGCCAGACCTGCTCTGCCTGACAAGCTGGTTGGAGTTTAGAATCCGGAATCTCGCATGGTTGGCGGGTGGTGTATGGTGGGCCTAGGCGCTGAGGTGCTAGATCGTATTATCGTCGGTGACTTTCGTCCTTTGCATAGGGGTATAGTATGAATACCACCCCCGAGATTACTACCGGTAACTCACCGCTCCCTCGTCCGGGTCACCGGGAGGCTCTGGGGCTGTTAGCAAACTCCTGGAATTATTTGCAGCCCTCCCTCAGTGAGATATCCACAGGTCGGTGATCGTATTGGAGAAAAGTTTGAAGTAGCATATATTGCAGAGATAAATTTGTCAACTACCACAGCATACCATCGTCAAGCGCTACGGCCCTCCAACATCAAGACGTTCGCCTGAGAGCACCCAAATAAATGAACCTTTTGGGTGCGCGATTCCTCAACGTTGACCCCTGAGTAGGAGACAGCCTTCCTTCGAACGAACCTATCAGGATATTTCTTTCCTGCACACTCTAGCATTAGCAATGTAGCCAGGAAGGGGTTCTCGAAGCCAAGTAAGCAAGTTTCCGACCGCAACCTGAGAGATCTCTCGATCTCTCGATTCGTAGTTTCGCATCCTTTGTTCCATCGCCGCCGCGGCCAGCCGTCTTATAACACCTCAGCCATTCAAAGGATATCAAAGAATGAGATCAGAGCGAACAAAGGAAACGCCATACCCACACCTCCGGGAGAAATATTAGGTTGATGAAGACGGTTTCCCCTCCTCGTGCCCATTTCCACCCAAGCCAGGCATTTCGAGGCTCTTGGAGTGGTCCCACATATTCCTGAGGTGGTGGCGGTCCCGGGCGCGGCGGCTATATGGGCGCTCACTCGGCATCGCTTGGGGCGCAACCATTGATATATGCTTAGGACTTTGATGAATGGAAGTGCGAGAGACTGCGAAATATCTTGAGTTCGGGCAAAGACCCACTTTCTGCGCACAATGAACTCTGCCACTTATTTAGGTAGGAATTCCCCCCCCACCTTGTTTGTTTGCTTCTTCCATTTATTCCTTCTTTCCTCATCCACAATCATTACTACCACTACTATCATTACTATCACCGCATTCATTACCAGCTCCAATATGATCGCTTCCCTCACATATTGGCCATTCATCCTCCTCCTCCTCTTATTGCGGACAGCGTGCTATTCTGTAGTACTTGCCACACCTGAGGGGTAGACATACACCATGGTACTTGGGACACCTGTTCTAAGAGTTGGGTTTGTATATACCTAAAACAATCTAAAACTTGTTTATATTATACTAACATTGATTATACTATCAGACATATTCAATATCTGGTAACAGGAAATCTACCTCTAAGGTGGATGGCGTGCTATTCTATAGCACTTGCCACACCTTAGGGGTAGACCTACACTACAGTACTTGGAATACATGTTCTGAGAGTTGGGTTTGTATATACCTAAAATAATATAAAACCTGTTTACATTATACTAATATTGGTTATAGTATCAAATATATTCAATATTTGATAATAGGAAATCTACCTCTAAGGTGGACAGAATGCTATTTTATAGCACTTGCCACACCTTAGGAGTAGACCTACACTACAGTACTTGGAATACATGTTCTGAGAGTTGGGTTTGTATGTACCTAAAATAATATAAAACTTGTTTACATTATACTAATATTGGTTATAGTATCAAATATATTCAATATTTGATAATAGGAAATCTACCTCTAAGGTGGACGGTGTGCTATTTTATAGCACTTGCCACACCTTAGGGTAGACCTTCACAAGGATACTTGGAACACTGTTATCAAGTATGGATCTGTATGTACCTGATAGAATTTAAATTTTGTTTATATTATACTAACAGTTTTTATGATATCAGATATCAGTTT